AGAAAGTACACTTGGACTATAAAAGGTACACCTGGACTATAGAAAGTGCACCTGGACTATAGAATGTACACCTGGACTATAGAAAGTACACCTGGACCATTGAAAGTACACATGGACTATTTAAAGTACACCTCGACAATAGAAAGTACACTGGGACTATATTAAGTACACCTGGACTATAGAAAGTACACTTGGACTACAGAAGGTACACCTGGACTATAGAAAGTACACTTGGATTATAGAAGGTACACCTGGACTATATAAAGTACACCTGGCCTATAGAAAGTACACCTAGACTACAAAAAACACACCTGGACTATAGAAAGTACACCTAGACTATAGAAGGTACATTGGATTATAGAAAGTACAGTTAGACTATATAAAGTACACCTGGACTGTAGAAAGTACACCTAGACTATAGAAAGTACACCTAGACTATAGAAAGTACACCTAGACTATAGAAGGTACATTGGACTATAGAAACTACACCTGGACTACAGAGAGTACACAGCTCTTCTTGCCTAACATTACCTGCCCACTTTGCAGTGATTCAATGGACCAACTTGCCTTTCACCATTGGTTACTTTCAAAGTAACAAACAAATCAAAAAGGCGCAACATGATTGTAACTTGTAATGCAACACGTTATAGAAATGTAGTTTAGTAGAAAGTACAGATACTTGATGTAAATTGTAAGTACCCACTTACATAAAGTACCCACATTTAACTCTAATTAAGTAAAGTACAGATACATGAAAAATGTAAAGTAACAAAGTACTTAGTTACATCCCATCACTGACTATAGAAGGTACTCCTGGACTATAGAAAGTATACCTGGACTACATAAAGTACACCTGGACTATAGAAAGTACAACTGGACTATATAAGGTATACCTGGACTATAGAAGGTATACCTGGACTATAGAAAGTACACCTGGACTATATAAAGTACACTTGGACTATAGAAGGTACACCTGGAATATAGAAAGAACACCTGGACTATAGAAAGTACATCTGGACTATAGAAGGTACACCTGGACAATACAAAGAACACCTGGACTATAGAAGGTATGACTGGACTATAGAAAGTACACCTGGACTATATAAAGTACACCTGAACTATAGAAAGTACAATTGTGCTATAGAAGGTACACCTGGACTATAAAAGTACAGTTAGACTATATAAAGTACACCTGGACTATAGAAAGTACACCTGGACTATATAAAGTACACCTGGACTATAGAAAGTACACCTGGACTATAGAAAGTACAATTGGACTATAGAAGGTACACCTGGACTATAGAAGGTACACCTGGACTATAGAAAGTACACCTGGAATACAGAAAGTACACCTGGACTTTGCAAAGTACACCTGGACTGTAGAAAGTACACCTGGACTATAGAAAGTACAACTAGACTATAGAAAGTACACCTAGACTATAGAAGGTACATTGGACTATAGAAAGTACAATTGGACTATAGAAGGTACACCTGGACCATAGAAGGTACACCTGGACTATAGAAAGTACACCTGGACTATATGAAGTACACCTGGACTATAGAAAGTACACCTGGACTATAGAAAGTACACCTGGACTATAGAAGGTACACCTGGACTATAGAAAGTACATCTGGTCTACAGAAGGTACACCTGGACTATATAAAGTACACCAATACTGTATAAAGTACACCCGGACTATAGAAAGTACACTTGGACTATAGAAGGTACACCTGGACTATAGAAAGTACACTTGAATTATAGAATGTACACTTGAATTATAGAAGGTACACCTGGACTATATAAAGTACACCTGGACTATGGAAGGTACACCTGGACTATATAAGGTACACATGGACTATATAAAGTACACCTAGACTATAGAAAGTACACCTGGACTATAGAAAGTACACATGGACTATAGACGGTACACCTGGACTATAGAAAGTACACCTGCACTATATAAAGTACACCTGGACCATAGAAAATACACCTGGACTATATAAAGTACACCTGGACTATAATAAGTACACTTGGACTATAGAAGGTACACCTGTTCTATAGAAAGTACACCTGGACTATATAAAGTACACCTGGACTATAGAAAGTACACTTGGACTATAGAAGGTACACTTGGACTATAGAAAGTACACTTGGATTATAGAAGGTACACCTAGACTATAGAAAGTACACCTGGACTATAGAAAGTACACCTGGACTATATAAGGTACACATGGACTATATAAAGTACACCTGGATTATAGAAAGTACACTGGGACTATAGACGGTACACATGGACTATAGAAGGTACACTTGGACTATAGAAAGTGCACCTGGACTATAGAAGGTAAACCTGGACTATAGAAGGTACAACTGGACTATAGAAAGTACACCTGCACTATATAAAGTACACCTGGACCATAGAAAGTACACCTGGATTATAGAAAGTATACCTGGACTATAGAAGGTACACTTGGACTATAGAAAGTGCACATGAACTATAGAAGGTACACTTGGTGTACTTTCTATAGTCCATGTGTACTTTCTATAGTCCAGGTGTACCTTCTATAGTCCAGGTGTACCTTCTATAGTCCAGGTGCACTTTCTATAGTCCAGGGGTACCTTTTATAGTCCTAAAGACATCTGAAGGACTGAACCCTTCAGAGACATTTAATGAAGACCTCAGGAAATGGATCATCTGACAGCTGGTGGTTTTATTTACTTTCAAAGAGATTAAGACTTAATAAAAGTGGTTAATGCATTGTCTTCAGGGTGACTCCTACATGACTGAAATGACCCCGGACCACTTGCTGTGTGACAGTGTCTCATGGTGTGATCTGACTCATATTACCTGAGGACAGTTGCAGGAGTTGTCTCTTGGCTTCCTCCACAGTTGTGCACAGTGTCTGGATGATGTTCTGAGAGATTCCCTGCAGAGCCGTAAAGTCCGACACGCTGAAGACGTGCTGACTGTGCGGTCTGTTTGCTATCAGCTTCAGCTCAAAGTCATCTGCGTCTTTGATCCCGATAGCATAAAGAACTATGCCTCTTCTCCTCAGCTCCTCGGCATGGAACTCCACATCATCCTGAGACTTTCCGTCGGTGATGACCACAGCGATCTGTGGCGCCTTCTGCTCGGCTCGGCTCCCAGCTGCTTTCACAAAGTGATGCCTCAGCATGAAGTCCAAACCAAGCCCGGTGTAGGTTCCGCCACCTCGGTAAGGTAAGGACTTGATGTGCGCCAGGATGTCTTCTTTGTTCTGGTAGGTGTTGAGCTGGAACTCCGTGTGTGGAGCGGTGCTGTACTGGACCAGGCCGATCTGAACGCGATCCGGACCGATGTCAAAGCTGTTGACCAGTGTGTTCAAAAAGCGGCGAATCTGCTCGAAGTTCTCAGTGCCGATGCTCCAGGAACCATCCACGATGAAGACGATGTCTGCTACGGCCTCTTGGGTGCAGACTGAAGGGAAGGTTGGAGGTCACGGACAAGTCATAGAGATACCTGTAGGGGGAGGAACCAGACCACCGAGCAGGTCCTGGTTCTCAGGGAGCATGCAGCCACAGGTGAAGGTGTGTCAGCGTGGTTTGGAGGTACAGAAGGTGGGGTGCTCGTGACGTGTGCGAGCCCGAGAGAAGAACGAGCAGCTTGAGTCCTGCTGCTGTCCGGATCAGGACCGGTTCTGGACAGCAGCAGGAATCTGGTGGATTAAAAAGCGTGAGGAAACAAGCTTGCTGGTGGTGCTCACATTCTTCAGGAAACCACGACAAACTGAGCCAACAGTAAATTCTCTTTATGTTCTGTCACTCAGTCCTGACAGTAAAACCACCTCAAAGTTAAATCTAATGGATCAGGCGGTGGTTTCAAAGAGCTTCCTTTAGTAATTTTCCAGATAAACAGATGTTTAGCTCTGAAACATGGACAGCAGCAGACAGAGGTCCAAATCTTCTCAGTCTGGAGAATCAGTGGAACCAAACTGATGCTGTCAAAGCATAAAGACAAACTTCAAGACTTTTCTATGCAAGTTCTTTGATGTTCAGACTTTCTTGGCAAACACCATAAAAACTACCAAAGAACCTGCGTCTATGAAAGAAAACTGTAGTCTCCAAATTTCCAGTTTTTGACCCCATGGACTGCAGTAAGTCTGGTCCAACCCCCCCCCCCCCCCCCCTCCTAAAGACCAGGGTTAGTAAAGTGCTCTAATAATTTTCAAGTGAATGTTTGTGTCTCCGGTTGGTTCAAATGGTGTTATAGACGTTATCATGTGATGCTAAAGCGTGGGGCTTTGATGCAGAGCTGGGAAATCGCACCCACCTGTCAGCTGAGCGGCGTTGCCATGGAAACACGCCACCACAACAAGGCAGAGCAGAAGAGCCCGCCTCCCCTCCATGTTGTAACAACTCAGGTTTCTCTCCCCCTGCAACACAAACACAAAGATGACATGGATGTAGAGGAACATCTGGAGGGAGGTCCATAAGCTACAGCTGAGACGGACTGCAGTTTTAATCAGGTTGGCTCCTTCCTACCCTGTCTAGATGAAAAATGTAAATGACCCTGGAAAAGATTAATCAGAACTACCTCAAAGTTTAGGGATTACACTTCATCATACTTCATCATTTAAATGCAGTTTGTTTAATTATGATTTTCGAAGTTTGTAACTCCATCAGGTTGTTAAATTGAAGTAAGGAGGACCTTGAGGAAGACCACTCCTCACAAAGCAACCGGCCCTGACAATATCCCCGGGGAGTGGTGGTGCAGAGGTTAGAGAAGGTGGGCCTGTGATCGGAAGATTGCCGGTTCACGCTCCGGTACTGACATCAAAAATGTGTGTGGGGTAGGTGAAGCACCCACACTTGCCCCCACCCTCATTCGCCCCACTCTGGGCCCATGAGCAAGGCCCTTAACCCCCATCTGCTCCCTAAACAGGTCTCTCTTGAAAACGAGTTCTCGTGGCTCAATGAGACTACCTGTGTAAATAAAGGGTAAATGAATAAATGAAAAAAATGTGCAGATCGGCTCTGCGAAGTGCTGGCAGACATATTTAACTCCTCACTTACGCTGGAGACAGTTCCCACCTGCCTGAAGACTGCCACCATCATCCCAATCCCAAAGAGCTCTACAGTGACTGGTCTGAATGACTATCGGCCAGTGGCCCTCACCCTGATAGTCACTAAATGCTTCAAAGGCTGGTCATGACTCACATCAAACAACCATCAACATCAACGAGGACCCTCAGTATGCATACCTCAAGAATCGATCAACAGAGGACGCCATCTCCTCTGTGGTCCACACTGCTCTCACCCACCTAGAGCAGGACTCCTACGTTCATATGCTCTTTGTGGAGTTCACATCTGTCTTCAACACCATGATCCCCCAAACCCTGATGAACAAACTATTCACTCTAGGACTAAGCCCCTCCATTTGCAACTAGGTACTAGACTTCTTAACAAACAGACCACAGTCAGTGAGGATCCACAATTTCTCCTCCACCATAACCCTCAGCATTGGCTCCCCTCAGGGATGTGTGCTGAGCCCCCCTTTTGTTTACTGATCTGTTTCATGTTGCTGATTTGTTTCATGTTGCTGCTGATCTGTTTCATGTTACTGCTGATCCGTTTCATGTTGCTGCTGACCTGTTTCATGTTGCTGTGTTCATGCGTGCTCATCTGCTCACACAGACTCATGTTCGTGCTGCCGTTTGACGTAATGTTTTTATGCTATTAGTGCTTAGTGTATATTTACTTGATGTTTTTCTTAGTTCATATCTTAGATGTTATTACAGTTTTTCTTTTACACTTTATTGTTGGATGGAACTGGGACCCTGTGTACACAATTTAGTTCCACCTCATGTACCACATGAGGTGTGTATGACAAATAAAGAACCTTGAATCCTTGAAAACATCCTAAAAAAGAAGATTTGTTCTGCTGGGAGAGCCCCAGCTTTAACCCAGAGCTGTGAACACTTGTGGTTCTGTTGCTTCATCACAGATTTTACAGATAATTATTGAAACGAGAAGTTCCTGAACTCATCTCTGCGAACAACATAAAAACCACCGATCAGGAAAGAAGCCAACGAATCATCAGCTCAGGGAGCTAAGCTCTGTCTGACAGCACGAGTAAATTAAGTAATTTAAGCTGTGAGGCGTTTACCAACACACCTGAGACACAGCTCCCAGACTCCACTGACCTCTGACCTCTGACCTTTGAGCTGTCACAGCTCTTGTTAACCTTTCATTTGAAATTCATTCTCAATTTACAGCCAAAACCAGCCACCAGGGAGCACGAGCCAGTGTATCTCTGGTTCTGGTCCCAAGCCTGGGTAAATGGTGACGGTTTTGTCAGGAATGGCATCTGACTTTGACCAATACCATAATGCAAGTTCATCAAAGTGAAACCACCGGATCGGTGGAGGCTCGGGTTAACAACGAACACCATCGGTGCTGATGACAAACAGGGTTCCGGCAGAAAATGTATTAGTCGAAGACCACGAGGAGGGAAACGTGTCAGGAGACAGAGGAGAAGGGAAAAGTGAAGAATGTAGGACTGAGGGTTGCAACTCTAAGTGTGGGGACAATGACAGGCAAAGGTAGAGAGCTGGCTGACATGATGCAGAGAAGGAAGGTATATGTTTTATGTGTCCAAGAGACCAAGTGGAAGGGCAGCAAGACTCACAGCATTGGAGCAGGGTTCAAACTGTTTTACCATGGTGTGGATAGAAAGAGGAATGGAGTAGGGGTGGTCCTGAAGGAGGAGTTGGTAAAGAATTTAGTAGAGGTGAAAAGAGTGTCAGATAGGGTGATGTGTCTGAAGGTAGAAGTAGAAGGTCTGATGCTAAATATTGTCGGTGGTTATGCTCCACAGGTTGGATGTGATGTGGAGGAGAAAGATACATTTTGGAAGGATCTGGATGAAGTGATAGAGAGTATTCTCAAGGAGGAGAGGGTGGTGATGGGAGCAGACCTGAATTGACATGTTGTCGAAGGAACCAGAAGGAAACATAGAGTGACCTATAAGAGTGGAGGAAGGAGTACGCAGGTCGACTACAATCTGTGTAGAAGAGGAAACCTGAGGGAGATTGGAGACTGTAAGGTTGTGGCAGGAGAGAGCGTGGACAGACAGCATCGGATGGTTGTGTGTAGAATGACTGTTGTTGTGAAGAAGAGAAAAATAGTAAAATCAGAGAAGAAGACCAAATGGTGGAAGATGAAGAAGGAAGAATGTTGTGAGAAATTCAGAGAGGAGCTGTTAAAGGCTCTGGGTGGTAAGAAAGAGCTTCCAGATGACTGGACTACTACAGCAACAGTAATTAGAGAGACAGGTAGGAAGGTACTTGGTGTGTCATCTGGACAGAGAATGGATGATCAGGAAACCTGGTGGTGGAATAGTGAAGTGCAGGAAGATGTTCAAAGAAAGAGGTTAGCCAAGAAGAAATATGACAGTGAGAGGACTGAAGAGAGGAGACAGGAATATAAGGAGATGGGACGTAGAGCAAAGAGGGAGGTAGCTAAGATAAAGTAGAGGGCGTACGATGAGTTGTATGGGAGACTGAACACTAAAGAGGACGAGAAGGACTTGCACTGATTGGCAAGACAGAGGGATCAGGCTGGAAAGGATGTGCAGCAGGTTAGGCTTATTAAAGATAGGAATGGTAATGTTCTAACAAGTGAGGAGAGTGTGACGGGAAGATGGAAGGAGTACTTTGAGGAGCTAATGAATGAAGAGAATGAAGAGAAAGAAGAATAGAGGTCATAGAAACTGTGGACCAGGAAGTAGGAAAGATTAATGAGGGTGAAGTCCAGAAAGCTCTGAAAAGAATGAAGAAGGGGAGGGCAGTAGGACCTGATGACCAGTGGAGGTTTGGAAATGTCTTGGAGAGATGAGAGTGAGGTTTTAACTCAAATATTCAATGACATATTTGAAGTGAGAAAATGCCTGAGGAATGGAGAAGAAGTGCTGGTGGCCATTTTTAAGAACAAGGGTGATGTACAGAGTTGTAGCAACTACAGGGGAATTAAGCTGATGAGCCACACGATGAAGATCTGGGAGAGAGTTGTTGAAGCAAGACTTAGACGAGAGGTGACTATCTGTGAGCAGCAGGATGGTTTCATGCCAAGAAAGAGAAAGAGCACCACATACGCCATCTTTGATTTGAGAATGATGATGGAGAAGTACAGAGAGGGTCAGAAAGAACTCCATTGTGTCTTTGTGGATTTAGAAAAAGCATCAGACAGGGTGCCGAGGGAGGAGGTGTGGTATTGTATGAGGAAATCTGGAGTGACAGAAAACTATGTTAGACTGGTACAGGACATGTATTTATTTTTTATTTATCCGTTATTTATACAGGTAGTCTTGAGTCATGAGAACTCATTTTCAAGAGAGACCTGTTTGGGAACAGATGGTGGGGGTTAAGGGTCTTGCTCAAGGGCCCAGAGTGTGGCAAATGAGAGTGGAGGCAGGTGTGGGTGTTTCACCTTTTCCACCCACATTTTGATGTTGTCAGTCCAGGGAGATGAACCGGCAACTTTCCAGTCATAGGCCCATCTTCTCTAACCTCTGCACCACCACTCTCCAAATGTATGACGACAGCATGACAATAATTCTCAATTCACAGCACCTTCTTATTTTTTACTATTAACAAAAACAAACATCCAACATCCAACTATCATCCAACCAAAATTAAACTATCATACAACCAACTATCTTCCAACCAAAATTCAACTATCATACAACCAACTATCTTCCAACCAAAATTCAACTATCATACAACCAACATCCAACTAACATTCAACCAAAATTCAACTATCATACAACCAACATCCAACTAACATCCAACCAAAATTTAACTATCAAACAACCAACATCCATCATACAACCAAAATTCAACTATCATACAACCAACATCCAACTATCATCCAACCAAAATTCAACTATCTTACAACTGACAGCCAACTATCATCCAACCAAAATTCAACTATCATACAACCAACATCCAACTACCATCCAACCAAAATTCAACTATCATACGACTGACAGCCAACTATCATCCAACCAACCATTATCCAACCATCACACTAACATCCATTCATCATCATCCATTCAACCAACATCCAACCAGCCAACATCATCCATCCAACCAGCCAACATATGAGAATTCATATTTGTTACTCGCATCTCCTTTCTGGGTCACGTGGAGCTGGTGTTTGTCTCCAGCAGTCACTCTGAGAGGTGGGAGACTCCTGGACAGGCCTACAGTCCATCATGGGGACATATAGACAAATGAGACAAACAACCATTCATACTCTCACTCACACCTGGGGACATTTTAGATCAGGGGTGTCCAGTCCTGGTCCTTGTTCACCACTATGCTGCAGATTTGACACATTTACTGCTCCAACACCTGACTCATTGGTTGAATCG